AAACCTACGCAAGATAGCGACCCACCTACGTCCGACGACGAACTAGTCACTAACACTTAGTATGTAGTATTAGTCGCGTCGTCACTCGTACGTTACGTTATTACTGACACTACTCTCTCTCTCTCTCTCTCTCTCTCTCTCTCTCTAGGAGAGCTCTGTCCTTATACTGTCCAAAAACAACCTCAGTTCCTTAGCCTTTCTCTCATGCTCAGGTGACACCTCATTTTCTGTTTCCGTGTCAGTTTCAATTACATTGATCACATCTATATCTCGGGCAGTGGAAGCAAGACAACTGACAGCATCATGCTTTACCAATGGTGGTGATGGCGATGGGGTTGATAAATCAATGGTTTCAATGGATATAGGCATACATGTCTTTTTACTCGGCCGCTTCGGTGTTATAGATAATTCTCCCAATTGGGTATCGATGCCACTGATTATTTTGCAGCTCTCTGAATTCGTGGGCTTCGACTCTTTTTGCATTTTCTTGGGTTTTTTGTTTTTCTTTTTGGTTTCAGCTTTCCTTGACATGAACTCTTCTACCTTTTCTGGGAAAGCACTGGACAAAAAATATCAGTTGTTTTTGGTTAATAATCTCAAAGACAAAAAAAAACACGCATGGATATACATATTTCCCCCAGTGTGTGCATGTGCCCATGCGTGGCGTCGGTTGTGTGTGTGTGTGTGTGAGAGAGAGAGAGAGAGAGGTCATTTTCATAGCTTGATAATCTGGCATGGCTTCAAAAGTGTAATTTGGTAACTTACAAATGACCACTGTCTAATGTCACTAATTCGAGTCAATAAACCAAGATATCTTGTACATAAACCGAATCGAAGGTTTGATCATTTCTTCCAAATTCAGTTATTTGATTAAACATTCAAGTTATAGAGTAGGATTTACCTCTTCACCAAATCAGCTGGGATTACAGAGGTTTTAAGGCAAGGATCTCCTTCCCAAGCTACTTCAAAACATTCTTTCCCCTGCACCTTTCTCGGCTTTACAATGGCAGCAATTCGATAGCCCACCCTTATCTGTCAACAAAAATAAATTAACGAACACCCACATGCATGTGTACTCAATTATGCCTTTCCGTGTGTGTGTGTGTGAGTGAGAGAGAGAGAGAGAGAGAACATGCTGGTATGGAGCTTGTACTCCTAGTGCAAGTGAGAGAGAACGCAGGTTTGCCAACCGTCTGACATCCCTTTCAGCAATCTTAGGCATGATGTATTCATCTGCAAGATAAAAGAAACCAACTTGAGAGAGAGAGAATGCAACACAAGGAATGAGAACTAAAATGATAGAGAAGTGATGGAACCAATATAAGAGAGAGAACAATGAAAACTCATATGAAAGAGAGAGATAAACCTGTTTTATCAGGGGTCCAACCAAAAGCATGAGCGCATATCTTTTGAAGCTCCCTTTGCTGAAATGGGTATTGAAGTAGCACCCTATACAATGATAAATACAAAACCAGCTAAATGGGAGGACCTAATCATGCATATTGAAACACTTACATCCAAATAAATGGAAACCCATGATTGATCAGTGCCTCTATTACCTCTCAACGGCTGGAGAATTGGGTAAGTGACATTTTGGTTTCAAGTACGCTTCTATCACTTGTCGATAGTATTCATCACTTTCATGTTCTTTCTTGCTTGCTAAAAAAAAAAAAGCAACCATTAAAGGGGCCAAGCATCAGCTTTATCCATGATTAACATAATTATGAAAGGGAAATTCAGATTGAAACCCTAACCTATTGCCGTCCCACAAAGAACCTCCAAGATTATCGGTTCTAGTAAGCAAATTTAAGTGAAATATCAATAAACCCACCACATGGTTTTTTTTCCCAATGGCATTTGGACTAAAATACACTTTCTATTTTCTTGAAATCTTTTATATTTTCTCTCTAAAAACATTGAGACTCTCTCTCTAAAAACATTACTCTACTCTCTAAAAAGACAAACTTCCTAGAAAAGCTGGTTTTAGATGTCATCTTCTTCTTGTAAAGCCTCCGAGTATTTCTCTGGCTCATTTTCTGAAGACTTTTGAAGATCTAAGAGAAGTCCATGGTGTGCTATCTATGAAGTTCAAGATCTGAAGTTCCAATGACTTTTGGCTGGATTTTGTTAAAGATCAGCCAGAGAAGTAACCAAATCCAAATATCACTACAATCTTTTAAAAAATATATGCAAAAACTTACCAATTCCAAACCTAAAATGTCAATCCACCTGCTCTTCGATTGTCTCGATGATCTCCCTATATTCATCAAAGGACTCATACATATTCTCTCTCTGAAAAAGGACATTATGGGCTAACACCATTTCAGAGAAGAAATGTGCTGGGCCTTTTCTCCTTCTCATTGTCTGATTTTTGAGGTTGCCCAAAACTTACAGATAGAATAGGGAAAATAAACAACAAATTCTGTAGTTTAAGAGATACAACACATTGAAAAGGTGGGGGAGATTAAAGAAACCCCAAAGAAGGTCATTTTTTCCTGCTTATTTCACGGATTCAAACAGAAAAAAGAAACCCCAAACTCTGCAATTTCCGAGATATAGATTTAGAATAGCTGAAATCTTCTAGTGTTTAGTAGCTGAATGCTCTTCGCTCTGTTATACTTCTAAGTGAAAAGATCTCAACGGGAGCCATTCACTCCATCAGGTAAAACCTTATCTCCAAATATTAGAGGTGCAACCTCCTCAAACAAGCAATCAACCTCAATCGAATATATATATATATATATATATATAGTACTCATCGGGGTGATTCTAAAGTGGATGATAACATTTCAGGTCAAAAATTCCTCCTAAGTAGCTTGCCCTAGGGAGTAGTATAGTGCAATCCCAGAGGAATATGCTGTACTAATTATATCTAAATTGGGGAGTGAGAGCTATTATGGTGCTCACACTTCCATTCTCTTCTTTGGAAACCTTGCAAGAGGAAGTTCCCTGGATTGTCTTCTCTTGTTTGATCAATGTCGTGTTTGGGTTGATTTGGTTGAATTAGGGTTGTCAGTGATGTTGGGTCCTATGTAATTTTCATATTTTTGTGTTTTATTGATTTATTTGGAGGATTTAAATGTTTCTCACGTTTAATTTGAGCAAAGAGCAAGTCCTCTGGTTCGTCTTATCTCATTTATGCAATTGTTTGGTTTGGTCAATGTTCTTGCTTCCTTGATGTATATGTTTAGTTGAACAATTTAATTGGTTTGCATTCTCTGGTCAAACCAACAAAGGCTAAGTTCTCTGATTTGCCTTATCTTGTTAAGTAGTCAATTCAGGTTGGGGTGGAGGGGCTGGGGAAGAGGACAGGAGTTGGAGGAAGTGAGGGGGGGTGGGGTTTCAAGCTCTGTAAAGGTTATTGTGGTCCTGATCCCATTGAAGAAACCGTCTCCTCCCCGCTGTTCCTCTTAAACCTAGGGCACCAAACTGCCCCCCACCCCCACCCAACAAACACATACACACAAAACTTTCGTCGTGAAAAAATAAACAATATTGAGCTCCTTAACAACCATATGGCAAAAGAGCTCAGAAAAAGTAAAGCATAAAATAATAACCACCTATTTTATCTTCCCGAAAGATTCAATCATGCTCCCATCCTCAAACTCCAGATTTAGCAGCCTCAGAACTCAAATGAACCAAAATACATCCTCAAGGGGGGGAGATACTCCCATCAAAACCAATGAATTCCAAACCAACGCATCATGAGCAAACTAACGTAAGAAAACTAATGTTGCTTTAATTATTATTGATTTTCTAGTCATTTTAATAGGTGTAAATCCAAATAAGGTCAAGAGTCATTCATCATCATCATCATCATCATCTAAGCCTTATCCCAACTATTTGGGAACGTCAAGAGTTATTCAATAAAATAATAAACAAACAGACTATTATAAAGTAAGAACAAAAACAAGATAGCAGAAATACTGATATGTTTTGAAAGTGAACAACTGGAATGGAGGATTTCAATAAGCTTACAGCACATAGTCTGTAAGGAGTTCCATTCGTTCTCTTTGTCAGCATCACAAGATAGTAAGCCCTCCTTTTTCTTTGTTCCTTTTGTCTTCCTTGCAAATGCCAAACCTTCTAAAGCAATACGTTGCAGGATGTTCTTTTCATCTATAGATCTAACAAGCTTACAAGCAACCTCCTGCAGTGAAGAGAATTGCAATAAGAAATATGAGATCTCAAATAATCACAAAATTCAATTTTGAAGAATACTAGAACAACAAGTAATACCCTTTTACTGCACTGCATAGTAAGGTGAAGTCAAGTACTTACCCAAAACAAAGGTGAAGTCAAGTAACCCAATTTAAATACTCTTTTCTTTTGTTTAGCACTTTATCAAATAGCAAAGATACTACAGACGGTTGATTTTTTATAGCAGTGGAAACAAGTTACCATTTGATTCTCCAAGTAACTTCTGTGCACACACCCATTTGCGATTCATTTATACAAAGAACACTCCAGGAACTATACAATGCAACTTAAGATAAAATGGGAGTCACCTGGCGTCCTCTAGAAAGATTCATGGAAACCATTCCACTATATATATATATATATATATATATATATGGTAGTCATTGCATGCAATGTGTACAGTAATATAA